GAGAGAGAGAGAGAGAGAGAGAGAGTGTGTGTGTGGCCAGCTCAGTCCACCAGGGGGCGGGGCTGGCTGGCATGTGGTGCTGGGGGATCGAACCACGGTCCCTGATGCTTTGCTAAGCTTGTTCTAAGTAGGTGCTTTAAGACCACTGAGCCATCTCTCCAGCCCAAGTAGTACTTTTTAATGTACAACTAGCTCTTAGATTTTTTTTTTTTCTTTCAGATCCAGGGATTGAACTCAGGCCCTTGTACTTGCCAGGAAGCACTTATTCTACTGAGATCTCCCCAGCCTCGTAGCTCTTAGATTTATAGTGAGAAAACAGAGACAGCATCCCCCAGCCCCACCTGGGCCACTGGGCCTCAGGAAGGCAGAAAGCTGATCCCTGAGCAGCAGCTTTGGCCACAGTGAGAAGAGATAGGGCAGCCTACTCTACTTTGGATACACAGTGAAGTATAGGTTCCTGGATCAACCAAACCAGGGAAATTCTCAATCTCAGTTCTGTTTACTCCAGCCAGTAGTTTTTGTTTTGTTTTGTTTGTTTTTTTTTGCGGAACCGGGGACTGAACTCAGGCCCTTGTGCTTGCCAGGGAAGAGCTTATTCTACCAAGCCATCTTCCCAGCTCCTAGAGGACTCTTTCTAAAAGGTTTCTTGCCCCAGGGTTCCAAGACCTGGGTGGAGGTTCAGTCAGCTGGGTCTTCATGCAGAATTGTGAGGAAGCGCTCTCCACCCTCACAGAGCAAGCTGTGGGTAGCTCGGCACAGTGCCAGCCAGGGTTCGCCTTGTAGCTCCTGGGTGCTCACCATGGGGAGTAGTTCAGCCATCAGGACCTGGGAGCAATGTAATTCCATGGTCTTAGCGGGGCCATTTTAGGGGCTAGTGCAGAGATCCAACAAGCAGGAAATCTTGGGACAAATTTCCTTGCTCCAGCCTTCCTTCCTCCTTAGGCACCACACATTCAGGGCATGCAACACATCTGGGGCCCTTCCCAGCCCACAAGGAGGCTAGGTGTGCTTAGCTATCCATGTAACCCCTTAATCCAAGGTTCCCTTTTCTTGCACCAGCCCTCTGTGCGGTGTTGGCTCCCCAGGTGCCCTGTGCACATTCACCTTCTGCTCTGCAAGTACCTTTTCCAGGTGGATCCGCTCCTTCAACATGGCCACCCGCAGCCTGAGGGTTGCCAGGGTCTGTAGTTCTTGGGTGCTGGAGTAGAGAAGGAGTTGGGGGCCCCAGGAAGTACATACACGACCTCCACAGGGAAATGAGGTCTTAAGAGGCCTCCTCATGAGACAAGGTCCTGTCAACTGTTCTGTCAGAGCTGTGAAGACCAGTGGATATGGCTTTATGCAGTGGCAGCCAGGCTCAGAGCCCCACTTCATTTTAGCCATGAGGGTTCTCCCTGAGGTACCCCATAATCCCAAAACTGCCTTTCCAGGTACGTGCTCCCCACCCCTAGCTCACCGGGCTTTTTCTTTTGTTATATTGGAGATTGAACCTCAAGAACACTGAGCTACATTCCAACCCTCCACACTCCATTTTTGAGTCTCTCTAGGTAGTCCAAGCTTGCCTTGAACTATGTAGTTCAAGTGGGCTAATCCTCAGGTCCTCCTGCCTCAATCTCCTGGAAGCTGGGTGCTGGTTTGTTTTTGTTTTTTTTTGCAGAACTGGGGATTGAACTCAGGCCCTTGCACTTGCCAGGCAAGCGCTTATTCTACTGAACTATCTCCCTGGCCCCTAGGTGCTGGTATCATAGGTATATACCACTACATCCAACTTATTTCCTTTTTATTTGGACATAGGATCTTCTAAGTTACTCAGGCTAGTCTCAAACAGACCAGCCTGAGTAACTTGGGCTGATTTCCTATTTCAGCCTTCTGCACAGCTGGGATTACAGCAGGTAACACCATACCTGGTTTGCTTACCTTTAAAAGGTGAAAATCATAGCTTTCGGCCTAGTGTTTGGCAGTATGGTAGGTCTGCCTGGGCTTGGTATAGCAGGGGGACAGAACTTTGTGGAGCCACCCTTTATCTGCTGGGTTTTTTTGGTTTTGGAGATAAGAGTCTTGCTGTATTATATAATCCAGCTGACTTTCAACTGGCTAAGTAGCCCAGGTTAGCTTTAAACTTACTCACCTCCTATCTCAGTCCCAAGTGCTGGGATTACAGGTATGTGCCACCACGACTGGCACCTGGGTTTGTTTACTATGCTTATGTGTGATTTTCTACAGCCTGACTTTGTTTTTCACAGATGATAGATCTTCACTCTTAAAATTTGTACTTTTCTTTTTTTTTTTTTTCTTTTCTTGGTAGAACCAGGGATTGAACTCAGACCCTTGCGCTTGCCAGGGAAGCCCTTATTCTACTGAGCCATGTCCCTGGCCCCTTAAAATTTGTACTTAAAAGATGCAAAGCACCTGGGCATCTTGGTATCAGCTTTTTCAGAAACTGAGACAGCAGGATTTTAAGTTTGAAGTCAGCCTAGGCCAGTTAGCAAGATACTTTATCAGATTAAAATAAAAAGAGAAGAAAATTTTGTATAACTTATTTCAATCTAAATAAAAGGGGCTGGTGAGATGGCTCAGTGGTTTAAAGCACCTACTTAGAACAAGCTTAGCAAAGCACAGGGACCACGGTTCAATCCCCCAGCACCACATGCCAGCCAGCCCCGCCCCCTGGTGGGCTG